TCCTAACCAAGCTGTCCTCGTGTATGACTTCTTTTCCAGACCTAAACGGGCAATGATTGTAGCTTGGTATTCAAAAAGAAATGCTGCTGTTCCTTTAACCATTTCCAAAATGCTACTCCTATACTTTTGGGACAGGAGCCAACACTCAATTTTTGCCATACAGCATGCAGCCCATGAGAGGCAGTCCTTGTTCTTAAGGAGGTCTCTGGGGGAAATGCCGAAATGAGCAGTTGCACCCGTTGTGCGCTGGTAAGTTAGGTAGAGCTAGAAATAGCACGTTGTGTTCGCCACCTGTTTCATTGTGTCTAGTGTCCTGGAGTTGCACTGAGGTGCAAGATTGTACACGGATGCAGTGGAACAACACATGTATCAAAAAGCATATCTCATAAAACATATGTAAAACACTAAGCAATCTCATAAGGGTGTCTTGAAAAACGAGATTTGTTTAGCGTTACTAAAGCTATGTTCATGTGCTACTTTGTTCAGGATGGGGCATCTAAAAACAGGGTTTGAGGTTATTAGGGGTGGCCTCTCTGACATGGGGTGAACACCTCCAGAGCTGCCTCAGAGCACTACTTTAGCTACTGAAGGGAAGAGCACTCACGGCAGAAAATGATCTCTGCAGTCGAACCTCAGCCATCCTTAATTCTGCTCACCCCTAGCCCAAATCTCTCTCGAGCACGCTTAACATGTGGAAATGGAGCTGTTTAAAACAAGATGGCACATGTCTGCCTACCAAGTGCCAAGTATTCAGAAGTGGCATCGGAACAAAATCTTCTCAGAGCTGCAGTGCTTCTGTGCACTTGTCTGCTGCACACCACAGGCTGGACGTTTGCACACTTCAGACTTGGTCATTGATTGTAAATCCAGCGCAAACGCCTTCAGCTTTCCCCTGTCACATGAAGGTGTACTTGCGAGAGAGTTGCTCTTCCCCTGTGGAAGTTACCAGATCCTGCCATTGCTGAAGTCAGCTGCGAATCTCACGAGGATTTATATTAAGCTGATATGAATCAGTGAATTTCATTCTCCTTCTCTTTAATAAGGGGAGATCAGAGACTTCTGCGGTTAATCACCCCGAGTGCTAACGGTTCAACCGAATTAGTTTACACAGGTTTCCTATGGGAGTGTGCTAGACGTTAGAGCTAGCCTGCTTCCACTGAAGTCCCTGGCAAACACTTTATCGGCATTTGAGTGCAAGAATTTCCAGATTAACCCAGTTGCAAACTGTGCTCCTCTCTGGACTTTCCTCCTTCCTGAGTGCGACTGGGTTGTGTGCTGTAAGGCAGCAGGAGAATAGGAACGGGTTGCCAACATGGACGGACAGACCCATAGTTACACCGTAGGGCTCTGGCAAGGGTCTGGATGTGGTAGGAGTGCCGGTTGGAGGAAGTAAACCCGAGGTATGGTGAGCAAAACTCACATGGAGAGGAAGAGGAACACCACTGCCGCCACCGCAGCTGCATGTTGACTCGTACTTGCTCCCCAGATTAAATAGCTGTGTGTAGGCTCGATGGATATATCTTTGGAAACCGAGGAGATGAGTATGTACATAAAAGAGGGGAAGGCCCATCATTCACTGAAATTTAATTGAGGTCACATTGGCTTGGAGCCACAGGGTAACACACCCACATTCCCCTGTCTGCCGTACACCTGGATGACTCACGTTTTGTCTGCCCTTCGCTCCTGCTGTGATTTACCGGGGGACGTTTTCATTACTGCTGAGGGCATTGCAACCAAGTGCAGAAGTCGTCTCTGCAGCATGGAAGTGGGGGGTGGTGTTGTTTCTGCAGCCTTGCTCTCCACCCTGGCTGCATATAGATATCTGTTAGTCTCCTTTTCACCCTTGGGTGCTTACCTGTGAGCCCTCAAGGCTAGAACCTTAATGGTGTGAAAGACAGGAGGGGAAAAAGTGGCTTGTGCTTTATTTATGTTTATTCTATATTTAGAGCATGTATGCCCGGAGTTTTATAGCAGACGAGTGGCCTTAGTAGCTGCTCACAAGCGGTATTAGGCAGCCGGACCTTTTTCCTTCGGTGATGCTTTCTGGACTCTTGGAGCTGTGACTCCTTTTGTAACTGAGATGGTGATTTTCACATGGACCTGGTCAGCTCGGGGTCAGCCTTGTGACAGGCTTATTAACAAGAAGTTTTAGGGAACTCGCCAAGCTCCTTTCACTCTGAAGCTTGGGTGAGCAGAAGGGTAATCATGGGCTGCTATCACCGCAGCCATCTTGCCGCAACTCTGTAAAGTTTTGCATGGTTTTGCTTTGGGTACAGCGCGGTTGTTTATCAAGCACAAGCTAAGGCTTGCTTAAATCTTGCCATTCAAGTTCTCCGCTATTAAACTTTCAGGCTTTATTCAACAAAATGATACAGCTTCCCTGTATCAGTTGGTTGAAGACCCTTAATTTTAGAAAGAGATATCCCGCAGTTATTCAGAATGATTTCCCCCGCTGCCACAGCAGTTAGAATTGGTCTGATGGGCAACGTTGCACCACCAACACGCAGGGGTTTATTTACTGGGAGCCTCCTCGGTGGTGTTCAATGTCTGTTTGTGCACGTCCTGGCGTCGATGCCTTCATGGTTGGCAGGAGCGGAGTGTCAGGTCTGCTTTGTCCTCCCACCCCTAGAAAGGCGTGGGAAGGCTGTCCGATTTTTCTCGCCTGGGGAAGCGGGCTTGAAGTTGCCACATGGGAAAACTTGCCTCTGCGGGCTTTTGCCACTGGCCTCCCTGAGTCCACCATGTGCTTCCTGCCATGTAGAAATACTGCAGAGAGGGCTTTGGTCACACGTGCGAAAAACTTTCTCG